GGTGGAAAGGAAAAATAGTTACCGGACAGGGATATGGCTTGGGTATTGGTGGGTGTAAGAGGTTGTGTCGTCGCGGACGCGGGGCATAGCCTGGTTACACTGCTTTCCCTGTCTATGTCGGTTAAGGACCGGCCGTTGCATAAGACGCTAGGCAAGTCACAGATCTATTATCCTGAGCACATACTTGGGTATGGGCGTAGGAAAGACTTGTTGATTTGTCGTGGATCCGACTCTTTTCGGACCGACTGTCAAGGTGGTTTTTGGGTTAGGAGGTCCTTGCACCGCACTGAGTTCGGGACTCAGGAGCGGGGCTTGGAGTCCCAGTTTGGACGGGGACCTGGACACCTAGGACAGAAGGGTGATGGGTTGGTCTTGCTTGTGTCTGGGGTACAAGCGAAGTGTGTGTTTTCGAGGTACCCAGCTGGGGACATTGATTCACGAATCGCCGTCGAGTCGGTATGACTTGTCTTACCTCTGGCACCATAGTAAGAACTAAAAGATGAAAGATGGAATGGAAAAAGGAAGTCTGATTGTTTACCACCTGCTTGAAACTAGCACATGTGCTTACATAGAATGGTTGGTTGATAAACTAATGCGGCTGTTAATAAAAATCGAATGTAAGGACGCACGCTTAGTAATGTTTCCTGCAGATGCAATAAACCCACAAGTCAGATAGCCTTGCATATCCTTAGAGTCTTTTCTTTCCTCTGTCGGGTAAGTCTTGCTGAGTATAATTGAATACTCAGGGTTTTATTTCCCCTGTTGTAGGTGACAGGTGGATGCTAGAGCTGACTTTTGTGTGTGGATTCCTTCTGGTGGGCTCAGCGAGGATTCTTTTACGCTGCGATCGTAGTTGTTATTTATAACTCCCACCAAATACTTTTATAAATGAAAGTTTCATAATCTGTTGTCGTAGTTTATATATCAATACTTCATCATGTCATGGTTAGACATTCATTTTCCGCTGTAATTCTGATCATATGTTTATATTTCGCTGTTCAATTAAATTGTTTATAACCCTGATAATATGATTACATTTCGTTGTTATAATAATAAATATTATACTCTGATGTTGTATTAAAAGTGACGTAAGAAATGGTTAAAAATGATGTAAGCTTTATTCTCTCATTTGTGATCCTGATGGAAAAAATGTGGATTTTCGGGTTCTCCCCTGGGGTGTGCCCGACGGAATCGAGTAATTTGGTGTTCTCCCTTATGTGTTTAGTGTCTAATGGAAGGCGAGCACTCCTCGGAGGCATTAGATTAGGCGGTTCTGTCACACGGCACTAGCACACCAGTGACCAGGACAAAGCAAGGGTAGGGGACATGGCATGCTGTTCGTGGCGTTCCTTCTCCTACCCTTCCGCTCTATGCTCCTGTCCGGCACGCTACACCTCTCTTTCATTGACCACACAGCTTGATCTCGTCCCTCACATTGCAAATGGTTTTCAACGACACAAGGCTAGGTCACGGGAGGGAAACAACGCAACTGCAGCAGGGATGACCAAGGCAAGAGAGAGAGAGAGAGAGAGAGAGAGAGAGATGCTTCATGCTTCATGCGGCCGGCGATCGGGAGGAAGATGAGGGCAAGAACGACATTCCCTCCACATTCTCTCCCCTCAAATCGGAGAAATTATAATTAATAAGATAAATGTTGCGATGGTTTACAACAGTAGGGAGTTTATAATGGTTCATACGTAGTGTGAACTGTCAAATTATTCGACCCTTATTTAGTGTTCTAGAGCAAAATTTACCTATAAACTAGGTCCTCTCTCCATGTGAAAAAAATGCAGCTCTTCTGGTTATAAGTTCAAGCATTTCAAGAAAAAAAAAAGATCATGTAATAAGAGGAATAGTAGTTGATCTCTCTACTAGCTATGGCATCAATCAATAGTTTGATCCGTGATGCACGTCAGCCCCGTGCAGCAGTCCTTCAATTCGGTGCCGTCACACATGACACATGCATATATACAATATTTTTTTCCCCCGTGGACCGTAATTAACTTGCTGACCACGCATGCAAAAGAACGGGTTGGCCACGGATTCGCGGCTAGGACGAAGACTAGTCTTCATCAACAGCAGAGAAGGAAATCATCATGGAGTACGTAGGCATATATGCATCTTGATCCATGAACGATTGAATTTTCTCACATGAATGAATACGCATGGATCGAGGAAATCATCATGGAGTACGTAGGCATATATGCATCTAGATCCATGAACGATTGAATTTTCTCACATGAATGAATGCGCATGGATCGATGAAATCATCATGGAGTACATAGGCATATATGCATCTAGATCCATGAACGATTGAATTTTCTCACATGAATGAATACGCATGGATCGATGAAATCATCATGGAGTACGTAGGCATATATGCATCTAGATCCATGAACGACGACGTAGTCACATGTATACTTCTTGTTGCTTGCATTGTGTACTGATCGAAGCAACAAGCAGCTAGTTAATTAAGACAAGTCAATTCAGCTTCAGCTGCAATGAAAGACGACGCCGACCCAGACCCAGCAATATATATGTATTTGATTGATCGATCCGCCACATTATTATAGACACTGTTCGGCTTATCTTATAATCTAGCTTCTTTTTTCAATCGAAACATATTTTCTCTCACGATAATTCAGCCGGAACAGTATTTTTTAGCCAATTTCAGCCGAGCGAACAGGGCTCTTTGTTTGCATTGTCATATCTGCAGTTTGCTATTACCTATTAGTTAATTGGCTAAGCCGCCGGCTGCCGCCGCCCAGTCTGACACACACACACATATCGGTGTGTTGTGTGTTTTCATTCTTGGTTGTTTGATTCATATTGGCTCGTGTCCATTCCACGGTCAATATTTCAGCTGAGTCCTCCTCCGCCCTATAGCCTGCCAGCTATCATCCTGCTATGTTATATTATTTATTTATTATATATAGGCCCGTTCGTTTAGAGGAATTTGAAAGAATCTAGATGAATTTGAAAAAATGTATCTGAGAAAATCAGTAATAAACAGTATTTTTTAACCATAAACAGTGTAATTTTTGCACCATCCGGACGGGGCCATATGCATATATGCATAGCACGCGCTCCCGCACAACAATCGGATTATGTAAGCGAATTCCTTGGGAATGAAACAGTAGAGTTGTTAGAGATGATACTCAGCTCCTATGTGTCAACAAATATATATATATATATATATATATATATATATATATATATATATATATATATATATATGTTGCCTAGTGCATGCGTCAGTGCGCGCGTGTTTTCTTGAGCAAACAATATTTTCAACAATACATTATATATTGTTGAGGACCACTCTCTCCCCTCACTTGAACAAAGTCAGCTTTTCTCAACTAAGTTTGTAAAAAAGTAGTGTCCACATCAATTATATTTACGATCAAGAATATATTTAATGGTTAATCTAATGATATATATATTCAGCGTCCTAAATGTTTAGTATCCACGTTTGTTCTGTACATTAGTTAAATTTAAAATCGTTAGACTCCGTAGAAAACAAGAATTATATTTTTTTAAAGATAAAAAGGGAGGAGTAGCACACACTATCAACGGTACCGGCCGGTCGTACTTGTAGATAGATATGGAGGCAAGCAACCCAAAGAGGACCGAACGAATTTGGACGATGGATCTTACTGTATTAATTATTTGGTCAACGAAGCAACTGATTATGACTATCGCTCCATCCGTCCTTTAATTTCTCCAAGTATACAGTACTCCTATATATAGGAGTAGTAGTGCATGGTCGTATACATCACTATCAAAATTGTTGCAACTAACGGTGATGATGATAATTATTAATTGCTGTTGCTATATATTACTACTGCTATTATAATTATTATTCCTCTAATCAAGCCTCTAACTGAAGCAGGGCCAGACACTGGCTAACCGTGCTCACTGTGAATTAAGTACTCCTTTTATTTTAAATTATAGTATGTTTTGGGTTTGTCATAGGACAATCTTTCTTAGTTTTGATCAAATTTACAAAAAAACAAAACAAATGCATGCACTAACATCTATGGTATCAAATTAATAATTACTCCCTCCATTCTAAATTACAAGTCGCTTTGACTTTTTTGGTATATCCATTTTGCTATGTACCTAGATATAATAATATGTCTACATAGCAAAATGGATGAACAAAAAAGTCAATGTGACTTATAATTTAAAACTGAGGGAGTAGTTTCTTTAGATTGTACATGAAATATGTTCCCAATGGCGTATTATTAGAATTAGTGTGTGTGTGTTTTCTAGAAACATATCAAAAAAGTAGAGAATTAATTTCTTTAGATTGTACACGAAATATGTTTCAATGGCGTATTATTAGAATTAGTGAGTTTTTTTCTAGAAACATATATAGTCGTCAAAAGCAGGGAATTAAAAATGACATAACATTTAACAAATTTAAGCTAAGCGAATTATCACTACTAAAATGGTGGAGTTCTTCTAGTGCACACTAAATAGTAATAAGAACACTATCACCAATCCTAGCACATAGGAGACATTTGGTAGGGAAAAACTCAAACTAAATGGTGAATGCTAAACACTAGAACCCCACTTCACATAACAAAATCGATCTTTTACTTAATTAATATTAATATATGAGCACAACGCATCTGCAGCGACCGATATGATTAACCGGTAGAGATACTGTGCTTGCTTGACGTCTGTAGCTCTATCTATCTATGTATCTATCTATATATACACAGCTAGCACATGGGTACGGTAGCAGCTGAAGGCTAAACAATTAGGTTGGTCATCATCTATCAGCTCATTTAAGCAAGCGTAAAGGCAAAGCTGCTGCTTAATTCGTCTGCTGCATGCACATACATACATATATATATATATGGTCGTCGTCGTAGGATCGGATTATTGGAGTACTAGCTAGCTAGCTAGCTAGCAGGAGCTAGTTCATCGACGACATCGTCGGTCGTGCTTGCCGGCGCGGTGGCGGTGGATATATACATAGACGACGATCGATGGCGGAGTCGCATCATCAGCATCCGCACCCGGCGGCGGCGGCGGCGCTGGCTTCGTCTAGCCGTCGGAGCCTGAGCTTGGGCTCCTCCATCTCGCAGTCCTTCCGGCAGATGGGCACGGAGGACCTCTTCGGGCGAGCGCAGTCGGAGCATGAGCACCGCGACGACGAGGAGAACCTGCGTTGGGCCGCGATGGAGAAGCTGCCCACCTACGACCGCATGCGCCAGGGCATCCTCCGGCGGGCGCTCGAGGACCAACAACAGAGCGGCGGCGTCGAGGTCGTGGACATCCAGAAGCTGGCCGGCGGCGACGGGGGCCGTGAACTCTTGGAGCGCCTCTTCCAGGACGACAGCGAGCGATTCCTGCGCCGGCTCAGGGACCGAATCGACATGTACGTCCACGTCGTCGTGTGCTTGGCTGCTGCTCAGCTGCTGCATCCATCAAGCTGACAAGCTAGATCATCCATATTCGTATTCGTATTCATACGCGCATGCATTGCAGGGTTGGCATCGAGCTCCCGACCATCGAGGTTCGGTACGAGCAGCTGACGGTGGAGGCTGACGTCATCGCCGCCGGTCGCGCCCTCCCCACGCTCTGGAACGCTGCCACCAATTTTCTCCAGGTTAGTAATTATTATTTATTACCAGCTAGCTAGCTGCATGCTTATAACTTTTTAATTTCCTCACTACTCTCTCCATGCATCATACACGAATTAATAATATGATAAATATATAATATCATCCATATTATTCATACATGATTACATGAATATATGTGTATGTGCAGCATTTTGCATGCTTTAACTAGCTTGTTCAAGTTCTTCAACGGAGTACATGATGATCATCCTATGCTAGCTATAGTATAGGTACATACCGGTACGGTATATATAGTTCAAGTTCAACGGAGTACTCCTAGCTAATTAATGAATTACGTACGTACGACTACGAGCTTGATTATTGATGAATCGTTCGTTTATTCGTATCATTCCGCTGCAGCAGTCAAAGACAAAGATGACGAGATGATGTAGCTATATATCGATCTGCTGCGCCATTTCTTTTCTCGATCCGATCTGCAATTTGTGCGCGCACGACAATATATGGCTAAGACTTTTTTAATTATATATAAAAAAGAGACACTAAAAAAGTATCTTAGATCGATCTGTTACGACATATTGCTCGCTAGCTAGAGATTAAAAACACACTGAAGAACTACTAAATGTGAAAATCGTAGGAGCACCAAAAAGAAAAGAGAGAGAGAGATAGACAATGTGAAATGACTTAATTTGGAACCAGCATTTCCATTCTAGGGTCTGTATGAAATGTAGGAATTTTACATGAATCTCGCAAGAATTTTAGAGGAATCAGTTCAATTTCACGAAAAAAACACAAGAACAGGATTTTTTTCCCCGCAATCCAAACAGGCCCTAGCTTATTGCCCAATTTTGAAAGGACACCCATACCATACAAATCTAAATCGGGTGCCACATCCGTTCTAAATTATAAGTCACTTTGACTTTTTTTATATCATTTTGCTATGCATGTATATATATAATAATATGTCTAAATTCATAGCAAAATAGATGAATAAAAAAGTCAAAACGACTTATAAGTCTGGCTTATCAACTATGGTACAGTGTTTTTCTTTCACGACAAATCAGCGAATAATTTGGAACGGAGGTTCCCTTGTAAAAATAATAATAATCAATTTTCTATTCGCTGGGGCCAATAGCGCAAAACGTAGCTGTCTAACCGGCAAACGGTAGAATCCAAAATGAAAATCATCCGCCGCCGCCCGCCGCCGCCAGTAGCTGGGGCCGATGGAATCGGGGCTCAGCCTCATTATTTCCGAAAATTCCCGATCCCTCACAGAGCTAAGAAGAAGAGGTGCGGAGAGATCGAATGGGGAATCAGATTATGGATGCGAGGTAGCGCCGACCCGCAGATCCCGTCCATCTTTCGGTTTCTGCTTTAGTCATGTCCTTATCAGCAATCAATGTCAGTTATCAGTATATAAGATTTTGTTGACTTAGTTTAGCATGTTCTCCAATCAATGTCAGTTATCAATATGATTTTCTGATGTGTATGACTATGATCGACACATCATGAGTTGATGTGATGGACTGATATGCTAACAGAGTAGTTTGCCATGTAATAATGTACTCTCTCCGTTCCAAATTATAAGTCACTATGACTTTTTTTGATTCATCCATTTCGCTATGTACAAAGACATATTATTATATCTAGATGCATAGCAAAATAGATGAATCAAAAAAGGCAAAGCGACTTTTAATTTGAAACAGAGGGAGTAATAACTTACTGATGTGATGCGTTGCAGGGTCTCATTGGACGGTTTGGTTCTTCAAACAAGAGGAACACCACCATACTTAAGAATGTCAATGGTATCCTCAAGCCATCCAGGTACCCCCGTACATACCATTCATTACTTTTGTTGGTGCTGTGCTACGTCACCATCCAATCCAACTGCTCCCTGGATGCCTGGATCTTCTAACCTAACTAATCTGCTTTCGTCAGCTAACCAAAAGTGATTGGTCTAGCTAGCAGTACCATTTTATTTCTTAATACACTTCTTATCCTGTTATTTTATTTATGAAAAAGGCGTAAAGAAGAATTTGATACAGACTGAAATGTCATGTATCTTTCTCATCTTTTCATTCTTCTTCTTTATTAAAGGAATATATAGATATGCTTTTTTGTGTACCCGGTGTCAGTCAGGGGTATCATGCCAATCAATCATCCTAGAAGAAAATCCCATCCATGAGTATTGTTGCTTTGCATCCATGTAATCTGATAACTAATACATACATCACTTTCTTGCACTCTAGAGCAAGTACTGAGCTATTTTTTTTCCTTTTAGGATGACGCTTCTTCTTGGGCCTCCATCCTCAGGAAAGAGCACGCTCATGCGAGCACTCGCTGGCAAGCTTGACAAAAATCTCAAGGTTTAACTTCAATCCGCCATCCTGTGCCATCTGTCAGTTTGGCTTATGCGTTTATGTCACATGCTAAATCCTTCTACCGCAAAATAGGTCTCTGGCAGCATCACGTATTGTGGCCATCCAATCTCAGAGTTCTATCCTGAGAGGACTAGCGCGTATGTTGGTCAATATGATCTCCACAATGCCGAGATGACTGTAAGAGAGACGCTGGATTTCTCCAGGCGATGCCTAGGCATTGGTGCCAGATATGAGATGATCTCAGAACTTGCTAGAAGGGAGCGGGATGCAGGCATTAAGCCAGATCCTGAGATTGATGCTTTCATGAAAGCTACTGCAGTACAAGGACAGGAGACTAATATTATAACAGATCTCACTCTCAAGGTATGATTCTGATTTTACTGATAGGCTGAAAAAACGTGCTTATTGAGTTTATTGAAACCTCTCTCAGGTGCTTGGGCTGGACATTTGTGCTGATGTTATTATTGGCGATGAGATGATCAGAGGAATTTCTGGTGGGCAAAAGAAACGTGTGACAACTGGTATGCATGCAAAGCCTGCAAACCATGCGCCCTTACATAGACCTGTGATCGAGTCATCAATTTATAGTTGGAACCCCAATTCATTGCAAATTATCTCAGGATCTGTCTATTCTTTTTTCCTTTTGTGCAGGGGAGATGTTAACGGGACCAGCAAGGGCTTTATTTATGGACGAAATATCCACTGGTCTGGATAGCTCGAGCACATTTCAGATTGTAAAGTTTATGAGGCAATTGGTCCATGTAATGAATGAAACTGTCATGATCTCTCTGCTCCAGCCACCGCCAGAGACCTACAATCTTTTTGATGACATAATCCTGCTATCAGAAGGATACATAGTCTACCATGGGCCACGTGAGAATATCTTGGAATTCTTTGAGTCTGCCGGTTTCCGATGCCCTGACAGGAAAGGTGTTGCAGACTTTCTTCAAGAGGTTACTTCCAGGAAAGACCAACAGCAATACTGGTACCTTGATCAGGAGCAGTATCATTATGTATCTGTACCAGACTTTGCAGAACGTTTCAAGTCATTCCATGCATGCCAGCAGATGCAGAAGGAGTTGCAAATTCCTTTTGAAAAGTCCAAAATCCATCCTGCTGCGTTGACCACCAGAAAATATGGGCTTTCCAGCTGGGAATCACTCAAGGCAGTGATGTCGAGAGAGCAGCTATTGATGAAGCGCAACTCCTTCATCTATATTTTCAAGGTCACCCAGCTGATCATCCTTGCACTCATGTCCATGACTGTGTTCCTCAGAACAAAGATGCCCCATGGGCAGATTGCTGATGGCACCAAATTCTTTGGGGCTCTGACTTTTGGTTTAATAACGATCATGTTCAATGGGTTTGCTGAGCTACAATTGACCATAAAGAAGCTTCCAGTTTTCTACAAACATAGGGATTTCTTATTCTTCCCCGCATGGACCTTAGGAGTGGCAAACATAATATTAAAAGTTCCTGTCTCGCTCGTGGAATCAGCAGTATGGGTTGTTCTCACGTACTACGTGATGGGCTTTGCACCTGCTGCAGGAAGGTATCCATAATCCTTCTACCAACTTTCATCATTTACATAGTCGGATTTTGTCATTTTGATATTGTGGGACATTACAGTAGCTTCTTGAGTCATCTCTCTTTTGGTAATAGGTTCTTTCGTCAGTTTATAGCTTTCTTTGCCACACACCAAATGGCAATGGCTTTATTCCGGTTTCTTGGTGCTATTTTGAAAACAATGGTTGTGGCCAATACTTTTGGGATGTTTGTGCTGCTCATTATTTTCATCTTTGGAGGATTTGTCATCCGTAGAAGTAAGTATGCTGTCATTCATTTTTTATTTCTCTAGGCACGAGAAATCAGCAAAATCCTGTCATTTATATGGATGGAAGAGTAACCTTTTGACCACTGATTACGATGTTAACAGATGACATCAAACCATGGTGGATCTGGGGTTACTGGGCATCACCTATGATGTATAGTCAAAATGCAATATCTATCAACGAATTCCTTGCTAGTAGGTGGGCTATTGTAAGTTTTTTTTTCTATGAACCTACTCGTTTTCTTCTTGAGGCTCAGATAACAAGGACTCAATATACTAATCTTAGAAAGGTGATTTTAATTTTGGATTAATGATAGCCTTTTTACTGCAGCCAAACAATGACACACGACTATTGATGCACCAACAGTAGGCAAAGCAATTCTTAAATCCAAAGGCTTGTTTACTGGAGAATGGGGATTTTGGCTTTCCATCGGAGCCCTTATAGGATTCATTATTTTGTTCAACATGCTCTACCTTTGGGCCCTTACATATTTAAGTCGTAAGCACTATCATTTTTTTTCTTCTTGTATTTGTGGTGGACACTTTTTCGTAAGCCGGGACTTATTTTTTATATGTTTCATTCCTTCCAGCTAGTAGTGGCTCCAATACCTTAGTTTCAGAAGGTGAAGACGATGTAAATGAAATGGTATTGAAAGGAAGAAGCAAAGATGCAAGAAGCGAAGATGAAATATCCCAAGCTGTATACAGTGATCCAGGTGCAAACGCATGTAGATGTCATGTTTCAATCTATTTTAGGGTATCTTGTACATGCATATTAGACTACTACATCCTCTTAAACATTCTTTTGTCTAGTCTATTGGTTGAACTTTTCCTGAACTTACAAGGTATTGATGCCTTCTGTTTCCCATGCATGGATATTGTAAGCGTTAATGTTTTGTGCATATCTTTGTATCCTGTTTCTGCAGGCACTAATGGAGCAACAAACACACTAGCTGAGTCACGAGTCACTTTGCCTTTCCAGCGTCTTTCACTTTGCTTTAACCATGTAAACTATTATGTCGACATGCCTGCAGTAAGTAAATATATAAAAACTTAAAGGCAGACATGAATTAGAAAAAAGATTCTATCTAAAATCATAATATCTGATATTCAGATCTTATTTTTCAGGAAATGAAGGAACAAGGATTCACAGAAAGCCGTTTACAACTGCTCTCTGATATCAGTGGTACTTTTAGGCCAGGGGTTCTGACAGCATTAGTTGGTGTGAGTGGAGCTGGAAAGACCACTTTAATGGATGTCCTGGCAGGAAGGAAAACTAGTGGAGCTATTGAAGGAGATATTACCCTGTCTGGTTTCCCCAAAAAACAAGAAACTTTTGCCCGGGTTAGTGGTTATTGTGAACAAACTGATATCCATTCTCCAAATGTTACTGTATTTGAATCCATCACCTACTCTGCCTGGCTGCGTCTTTCCTCAGACATTGATGATGGTACGAAAAAGGTACTTAAAGCGACCAGCGAGCTTCTCACTGAATTAAATATACCTTGTTCTAAATCTATTTGAAATTCCAAGCAGCAATTGTTTCTGACCGATTTATTTAAACTTCAACCACTTAGATGTTTGTGGAGGAAGTGATGGCCCTTGTAGAGCTTGATGTGTTGCGCGACGCTCTTGTGGGTCTTCCTGGAGTTAGTGGATTATCAACTGAGCAAAGAAAAAGGCTGACAATTGCTGTGGAGCTGGTAGCGAACCCTTCAATCATCTTCATGGATGAGCCAACTTCTGGTCTTGATGCTCGAGCTGCAGCAATTGTCATGCGTACAGTAAGAAATACGGTTAACACTGGGCGTACTGTGGTCTGCACCATCCATCAGCCCAGCATCGACATATTTGAGTCTTTTGATGAGGTCCTCTCTCTCTCTCCCTCCCTCAAAACTTTGTGTGTGCACATCTAGAAACCATTTAATGTTTTAGTTTTTACCAATGTGATATCCTCACAACTGGTTTGTTTTCCAGCTTCTGCTTTTGAAACGTGGAGGTCAGGTTATTTATGCTGGTGAACTTGGTCGCCACTCTCACAAACTAGTTGAATATTTTGAGGTCAGATCACTTTTCTTACATGTTTGAGTTTGGGGATCGAGAAGTCTTTAGATGTTTCTCAAGGGGAATGCATAACTTGCTCACAAATATATATATATATATATATATATATGTGTGTGTGTGTGTGTGTGTGTGTGTGTGTGTGTGACCAGTTCAGCAAAGACCAAACAAGTCATGAACTTTATGCAGTCATGCAGGGTGTACCAAAAGTGGGCATTTTAACTTTTGTTGATCTCATTTTCCTGCAGGCGATTCCAGGTGTTCCAAAGATCACAGAAGGATATAATCCTGCAACATGGGTGCTGGAAGTTAGCTCTCCTCTATCTGAGGCTCGACTGAACATGAATTTTGCTGAAATTTATGCTAACTCTGTGCTTTATAGGTAACCACCCTCAATTTTTTAACAAGGCCATTCTTTATCACTGATTTGTTCTACCAATCCTTGTTTTTCAGAAGGAAAAAAATAACTGAAAGAGAGTGAAAAATGGCCTCTGGTGTCATTTTACTTCCCACGTTTATATTATTGTTTGTTTTCTTGGGGAGCATGGTTTCATATTGCTTGTCCATTGTGGAATAAAAAACTTGGTTCCTATGGCATCTAACTTCCTAGATTAGATGATTCCTTGGTTTGTGCTAGGAATAGAATTGGACAAAAATTGTGAAATGCAGGGGATATGGTTTTATATTATTGACAAATATTCTCCCTTCATAACTATGATCAGGAAAAATCAAGAGCTTATCAAGGAGTTGAGTATTCCCCCACCAGACTACCAGGACCTGTCATTTCCTACAAAATATTCACAGAATTTTTACGGCCAATGCATCGCAAACTTTTGGAAGCAATACCGTTCCTATTGGAAGAATCCGCCCTACAATGCTATGCGCTATCTGATGACATTTCTCTTTGGCCTTGTATTTGGTACAGTATTTTGGCAAAAAGGAAAGACCATGTACGGGCCTAGCTACTTTGACGCTGTATTTGAAACTAAAATTGTTTGAATGATTCTATGTTGGCATTTATGGTGGCAATAATACATTTAGGTTTTCTATTTATGATACACAGAGATTCACAACAAGATTTATATAATCTACTTGGAGCCACTTACGCTGCTACCTTCTTTCTTGGGGCTTCAAATTGCATCACGGTTCAGCCTGTTGTATCGATTGAGCGAGCAGTTTTCTACCGTGAAAAAGCAGCAGGGATGTACTCTCCATTATCCTATGCATTTGCTCAGGTAACCTTTAAATATAATCATTTTGGATGCATTGAACTTGTTTCAAATAAGTGTAGGAGCCCATGCTTCTGGGTAGAGGATGAATTTGGCAGCTGCTAGATCAAATGGAAACAGTAATGCTAATTACTAAACCAGTATAATACTAGCCCTATCAGTTTTTTATACTATTATACTAATACATAATTCAAATGTGGCCAACAATAATTAAAGGAAAAAGTGGGACTATAAAGTTCAGTAATGAACAGCAGGGTATACTTGCTAAATGAAGAACAATTTTAGTGACTTTGACAGAGTGAAAGGAATGAAATTTCCTTTAGCCCCTTTTACCTCATTATGACATAACATAGGTCGCATAACAATGTGGATATGGGCATCTTATCTGTGAGCTATCACTAATAAATTCATCCCTTTACGAGTTTATTTGACATTTGGTTTTGGCAGACATGTGTGGAGGTCATCTACAACGTCTTACAGGGGATACTGTACACAGTCATCATATATGCGATGATCGGATACAACTGGAAAGCAGATAAATTCTTCTATTTCCTGTTTTTCATTACTGCAAGCTTCAACTACTTCACATTGTTCGGCATGATGTTGGTAGCATGCACTCCCTCCGCATTGCTCGCAAACATTTTTATCACGTTTGCACTACCTCTTTGGAACCTCTTTGCTGGATTCCTCATCGTTAGACCGGTGAGCAAACTACTCGTCTAGGCTAAGCTGTGTGCGTTTGGATTCCAATTTGAGTGAGACTCTGATCTTATGAGCTATATATGCCACTGCTGCAGGCAATACCAATTTGGTGGAGGTGGTACTACTGGGCGAACCCTGTCTCGTGGACCATCTACGGTGTTGTTGCATCTCAGTTTGGCGAGAACGAAGGTGAGCTTTCAGTTCCCGGTGGCGGTGGGAAACCCGTGGTGGTGAAGCAGTTCTTGAAGGATAATCTCGGCATCCAGCATGACTTCCTCGGCTATGTTGTGCTCGTCCATTTCGCCTACATCATTGCATTCTTCTTCGTATTCGGTTATTCCATCAAGTTCTTCAACTTCCAGAAACGTTAGCTCCACCTCTACGGGCCGTAGGAATCTGTAATCAGTTGCCGTAAGTTCTAGTTCTAGTCAAAACAAGTGCAGTCGAAATGTGTCATTACGAGGATTTTTAGGAGTTACCACTGCTTTCGGAAGCCTATGTGCAAGTATCAATATATAATATATTCCTCTTGTTTCCTCAATGGTACTACGTGGAAAATATTAAAAAAATGATGAACAAAAGTGACATGTCCTGTGAGCCGTCACTAATGAGTCATATGTGAGGCTCAGAGCAGCCGTAGTGTGTCGGGGTTCGTTTTCGTTTCACCGTCAGCTTCTGCTCCCACTAACTCGCGAACGGATTCAAATCTAGCTAACGATCCAATATCTCCCATGACTTTCCTTTAAAAAAAATTCATTTCTGCATGTATCCTTTATTGGCTGGTCTAGTGTTCGCGCCCCTCATTCCTGCGTGTTTCCTTTATTGGCTGGTCTCGTGTGCGCGTCCCTCTTTCAGTTTTCGTGCGGTCTAGAGCGCGCGCTGCTGCTTTGTCTCCTTCGGTGAAATCAGACAGTGCAATTGGGTGATGGTAGTCAAATAAAATCTCCTACAACTAAAAAGAATAAAGCGTGGACATTTTTTGATGCGACGTTTGTTTTGGTTCGTCCGTCTGCCCACGCCCGTGCGATACCTCGCTCGCTTCGCCGCTCTACCTTCGCCCGTGCGAAAAAAAATTCTGCCTCATCGCTCGCGTAAATCACGCCTCCAATCGCTCTCTCCCCCTCGCGAGATCTCTCTCCACCGTGCGGTCGTGCCCCTCGCCGTGCGCATCGGCCACCGCATCGGTGCGAGCGGACGGCCTGGACCAGGCGCGGCGGACAACGTGGCTGAGGCGGAGAAGGTCGCCGGGGACCGCCAGTTTCTCAGGCGCTCGTCGGGGCGCGGTGCAGCCAGGCCGGATCCGGTCGGCGCTCGGTCGAAGACGGCGTAGCTGAGGCGGAGAAGGTCGGCTAGGAAGGGAAGAAGCGCCGTGGATGAGGCGGCGGCGGGCATAGGCGACGGCGCCCCCGCGGGCAGGCGTGCAGGCGCGAGCGGCCCCCCTCCCTCATCCCCACGCGGGCGGGTCCCGCACTAGATCCGCCGCCGTCGGTGCCCATCCTGAAGGTCCACGCCGCCACCCGCACCACCCCGACGCCCACGGCTGCGGCCACTGCTGCACCGTGGCTCGCACCCGCGCCAGAGGCAGAGGTGACCCTCGACACTGTACCTGCGGCCGCCACTCCCCGCCTCCACTTCGGCCCCCGCAGGCAGCAGCACATCCGCTTCCCCTCCCTCCGCCTCCTACGCGTCCACACGATCTGGCGGGCGGGGATGCGCCGACGAAGCGGGTGGCTTAGGTCGATGAAGCGACCGGGTACACCAGCGCAGTGCGCCCCCTTCACCTCCCGCCGCCCCTGGCTCCCCTCCGCGTCTCTCGCTTCCTGGCACGCGGCCGACCGGCTTTAGCATCCCCGGATGGCCGTAGGAGGGAGGTTTTCACTTATCCGCATCTGGGCGGGAGCAGCGGCAGCGGCTCGCATCTTGGTGAAGTCCGTCTGTGGCACGTGCATCAGCGCGGCGGCGGAGGCTTGCACATCAAAGGTGGCGTCAGCGTCGCGTGCGCATCGGGGTCGCGGCTGCTGCTGCTCTGCTCCATCCAGCTCAGGCGGCGGCACACGTACATCCGAGCGGCAGCGGCTGCTACTCCTTCTTGGGCGGTCAGCTTGCTCCAACCTCCAAGCTCAAGTGGTCCAGGCGAGCAAGCAGCACCGATCGGTCCCAGCTTCAGCTACACGGTCCACGCATCTACCTCGACATCTCAACCTCGTCCCCTTCCCGTGCTATTGCCAGTCCGCACTGCTCAACTGAAGTAGAATATCTTCTTTTTTCAGAGTAAGCATATTGTTCCCAGATTTCATTTTTCTTTTAAAAAAAGGCGTTGTGCCTGGTTACACTGAACCTGCAGAAGCTAACAGACATGAAGAAGATGTGTCCAGTTGTTCAGAACTTCAGATGCATCAATTGTCACATATAAGAAACTCATAGTAACCTGCAGGCTAGCAACTACTGACCTGAAGCTAAAGATGACTGGGATCCATTTCACTAATTATTGAGTGCCTCGTTATCACTTCTATTTTATACACGTGTAGCTGTTTGGTACTTTGCCCGTCTATTACAACGGGAACAAAAAAAAGATATAACCATGACAATTAAAGTTTGAATGTATGTTGTACCATTACCAAAAAACAATGTTAAGAGTGTGGTTCATAATGACAAAAATTATATAACCATGCCTGGTATTTGGCTGTCAGTGTTCAGTAATTCAGTTTTCTATGTAACATGCTTTTGTCTATTTTCTTAACTACCAGTAATTCAGTATTCTATGGTCTGACTAGAATCATTGGTCGGATTATAATCATTGGTCTGTGCTATGTTAAGAATGGCTTTGGTTGTAGTTTGGGCAAGTTTTCTCATGTACTACTCTTTGTCTTATTGTCTTTCAGGGATCTTAGCTGGGATCAATTGAAGGGTGACATCTCAGTCTTACTGCCTTGTCCTACTTGCTTGCCCTGTCCTGCTTTCTTCGGTGCGCACGACAAGCTAGAAGGCAGCGTCGCCAACCTCTTCTCCATATCAAATCTTGACCAGGTGAATCCCCCTCTTCTGGGAACTGGGATCCCCTTGCCCTTCTCCTATTTACCAAGATATCGGAGCTGCACGAGATGGTCAGCTGCTGGTTTGGCCTGCTGGAATTGATAAATTTTAGGAACGATATAATTGCTAGACAATGTACATGGAATCTGACTTTTTCCGTTTTTTTCATGGCAGGCCATGCTACTTGCGTGGGGATGGGGCCATTACAATGTATTAATGCCAATACGAATGTGCTACTCATAGTTGAAAATTTTGTATGATGTTTTGGGTTTAAACATTACGGCATAATGCATATGGTTTCTTAACAGACATAAATCATATCCAAAAAGTCATAGCACCTTATATTGGCTTACCCATTTTTACCATTAACAAGACCGTCCAGAGTTGGAATACCAAGTCCCTCTTATGGCAGAAAGAAAACTCAACTTAAAAGAATATTTACAGTATCTGCAATGGGCTTTTACAGTTTAACTCTTCCTTTATTGCATCATTATTTATTACAAGGAGTTCATTGATATTGTATCCTTTATGACTTGCCTGCACACTAATTTTTGTTAGAGAAGTTTAATATAGACTGATATGGATTGCACGATCTGACAATATAGACTGGATGGTAAATCTCTGGTCATTTCTCATCTCCCGCAGAGATCATAGCAATTTGGAGATAAATTTAAATTGTACGCGACATTGCATCTGGATGAAGATAACTATAATATCCCATGATAAGCTTCCCAGCAAACCTAGCTTAGACTTTATTATAACAATATATTAAATTATTGGTGAACATCTAACCTACCAATCTTAGACGGTATGTCTTGATGTAAGGTTAAAAGTTTAATCAGACATATGTATCTATAATGGTAGCATTTTTTTGAAAATTTTGCCATTGTGATCAGCTTATTAACTTCTCTAATGCAGTGTTATTGCTGCTCTGAGTCTGCAAAAAATGCTTCTTGTGTCCATAAGTCATTCCAGAAGAAGAACTAATGAGATTGCATCTCTGCCAGGTGCCTGTTGAGTGTTGAGTGCCCTCCTGGATGCCTGTTGAGTGACCAAACCTGAGACACAAGGTAATTAAGTTAAAATCTTTATATTCTTCCTTTATGCCTCATCTAATCTGACATCACCCCCACCCAATCTGCATATGCACATACTGCCTGCATTTTGTTCCTCGCAGTGGATAATAAATGTTTGACAGCATATTTTTCATTGTAAGCAGTAATACATGCTTTGGATTAATGGTCCTGCCTGTACAGTTTTTATTGAGGTGTTTTTATGCTTAACTATATATATGCAGAGAAAGCTGTCTAAAATACTGAAAAAACCTCCATGCAACTGAAATTTATTTTGCCCTAGCAAGTTATCATCAGTGAAGTTGCTAGTTGTGCGAACAAGTTCGTGGTATGAGATCAGCTGATAGTTCTGCAAGTTCGTGGTATGATTGTTGTGGATATAGTGAACTTGCTGCCCTATTTATGATAGATTTGTTAGGAGTAAAAGATAAGAATACACTCTATTTCTTAGACTGATACATTGAGAAATTGGTTATTTGGGTATGGCCAGCCAAAAGCTTCGTCTCATCTTTTATTTGTGCTTGTTTAAATCTAGGAGGGGCTATGGCCAACTCTGGTCCAATGAAGCTCCATCCCTACTGGTATTGAAATTGTTTAACTTTTCACTTTTGACTGGGCCGTAAGCACAATAACATAGATGATTTTCATCGCCATAACCTCATATGCATGTCATGTCATGACCTCATAGACAGAGTAAAGAGTGAGCTCAATCTTCAGACTTATCTGATTGCTCAATCCTGATTGCTCAATCTTTGATAATTGAACCATGTGTTGTATCTGGTGCATGACAAGATTCCAAGTCATGTGTATAGAGAACTGAAAGCAGCCAACATAAACTAGACTGCTCAGTGAGAATTGGGAAATTGGATTGTCAATCGAACTTCTAAATGCACGATGATAGAGAGCTATGGATTTGTCAGTGTCTTCGTACCTTTATGAAATTCGAGGATGTATACGCTCAAGCTGAGTACTTTTTTGCAGGTATACCTCATACGTCTATATTTAAAAATGCATAGTTAATTGTTCATGCTCCTATTCCATCAATAACTATCGTTTGTGTTTGTAGATGTCATTGGTATAGTTGTGCATGTGTCTAATATTAAGGAAGGGATGACGTGCCAGATGCGACCGTACAGATATGTGGTGCTGATGAATGAAAGATACTTACAATAAAAATTTTATCATTGCTCCATGCTATCAATTTTTTATTATTTGATGCTAATCAATTTTGTAACTCGTAGGTACCACTGCATCATAATAACCGT